ACCTTTCATTATAGTACCATGAAGGATAAAACTAGTTCCACTCCTCCACGAAGGGTAGAACATGTGTTAACCCCCCCCCCCCATGTTCTAAAGTTTAACTTGGCACCACTAAAGGCATGCGTATGCAAAATCTAGACCGATTGGTTGTTGTATGTAAAAGTTATGCACGTTTGACTTTCAAAAACAGCATCTCAGGACATCTTTAGACAGCGAAATTTGATGGGCGTCTGGCACGCCTTCAAGGTATAGGCTACTTACTGCAAAATTCCAGGACTCCGGACGGACGGACGGACAAAACGCAAACAATAGAACATTTTTTTTTAATTCTTAAAAAATGCTCTAAAAATACAAAATACACTTTTTATGCTTCTCAATCACTTTTGAGGATCGGGTAAAGGTGAGTTTACACTTTCGCGTTTTTAAAATTTGCTTAAAATTGAAACATAATACAAAAATGTCCTCTTACGATTTTGAAAATTTGAAAATAGTATATCGTAATCTATGTACAGATTCTTCGAAAAGGAAAGGGGCGGAATGTAATTTTCTCACTTTTTGTAAGCTATGTATAATTTCGGATATGTTTTGGAAATGTATTACAGAATTGGCTCTAGTTTGTCAGGAACGTAATAATCGCCCCCGCAGACGTCGCGGTACTGGGAGGTGAATGATATATTACGGGTCCAAAACACTTTAAAACCATTTTGAAGGCATTTTCGGAGTTCTGATATTATTTAATCAGTTACTAATTTCAGGTTCGAAAACTACTTACACATTTATTTAGCGATCGTCAACATTTTCGCTAATTTGAGAAAAATAGCTATAGATTTATAATCAAGCGTTATTATTTTGCTATGAACTATCGTACCTGGCACGTTATTAAAAACTCTAAGTTGAAGTAATGTTGGACGACAATAACAAGGTCGCTGTTAATATTTGTGTTATTCACAACACAAAAAATGTTATCAGCAATTTTATATCTTTATATACAGTGTGTCCCCACATAGAACGCACCATAGGGTAACGGCAATGTATTTTTCGCGTAAAGTACATTAATTCTGGTTCCCTATGGTTCGTTCTCCCTGGGACACACAGTATGCACTGTGTCCAAGATAAAGATCTCTATCATGGGGATCTTCGAAACCATAAGGTGATCAAATTAGAGAAAAGATACGTAATTAAAGAATTATTATCATGCTTTAAAGAAAACCAGAAAATTCCGATTACTTTCGAAGATATATCATATTTCTGATGTTCTTTGTGCAGATACAAAAAATAAAAACACTTTCTCATTGCCACTTTTTGAGCTCCAAAAGGCAAATTTGAGAACTTTTCAATACAACGTTTCGTTTCGGAGAAATCATAATCAACTTTATTTTTTTATATGACCCGTAAAAAAAGTAGAATTATTATTACGAATACAACGATGTACGGTACACAAAAAAAAACAAAAGTTGTGCTGGTGCGACCGCGCAAAACGTTCGAGTTGTGCGGGAATACCTATCGGGCATATTTTCCCAGTAAATTTGTCCGATAGGTATTCTTGCACAACTAGAGTGTTGTGTGATCACTGATCATTATGGAATTGGGCGCAAGCCTATTAAGCGCCAAGATCAACGGGGGGATAATAAATAAATAAATAAATAAATTTTGGCATTGGACTGGTGAATATATGCATTGGTGGTTATGGCTGCCCTTATTATCGGCGATTTAAATTTGTGACCGGTTCGACACGTTAGGCACATAAAATATACTTTTTGGTCTGATTTTATGGGCTGGAACATATTAGTCCGGGAGGTAGCGTCAAATTTCACCGGACCATTATACTGAGGCTGAATTTTTCAGTATAGGCCTTTGTGATGTTGACGAAAAAAAAATTTCCATGTTAGCTGCTCAAGATCCGTGACTTATGATTTCGAGAGCCTATGTATCTGGCAAAAAAAAAGGAGATTTTCAGAGGAGTTTACTGTAGTTGAAAATTTTCTGGTAGATAATTGGTAAGATTTTCATGACGAAAAAAAGTGTTAGCTGCGAGATCCCTGTGATTTAACATGTTAGCTACGCGCATGTTCATCATGTATAGAAAATTGGAAAATTCGGACTATTATACTGGAGCTGAAATTTATTTATGTGACAGTTGATGGAATGAGAACTGTATAAATAAATGTTAGCTGATGCACAGGTGTGACTTAACCTGTTAGCTGCGCGTTTGAAGTGCAACGCGCGGTGAGTAAATTACGCGGCGCGTCGCTTGGATTCAGCAGGATATAACGCTAACAGTCATTGAAATTTTGATATAATAACAATGAACAACGATTGTAAGCTCGTGTGCAGTATATATGTATATTCATAAATTTCATAAATGTAAGTCGTAATGTACTTTAAAATCCGATTTTCATACAAAAGAAACAAATATAAAACAGTTTATATGATCGATTATTCAGAATCGGATTCACTTTCTTCTTCCTGTTCGTCAGTGCTACTTTCCGATTGATCTTCAATATCAGAGTGTTCTTCATGTTCCTGGTGATCATTATCATCATCAGATTCTCTGAAAGTATCTGAAAAAAAATACAATTTCATAAGTTTCAAGCATTACTCAAATGAGCATTGGGCAAATCTCAAATTACCTTCTATTTCAGCCTGACTACTTGAGATTTCATCAAGTTTCGGCAATTGATCTCCTTCGAACCATTTAAAATCGTATCTGTTCTCCTCTTCTACTCATCCAAAATCCTTTGGAGATGATAGAGTTGGAGTACGAGACTGTGCGTGAGTCCACAATTGAGCACTATAAGATGTTCGGAGGATATGTTGACGCAACTCGGACTTGCACGGAGGTAGCAATGATCCTTCGAAATTTTGATCTAATTTCAGTACCTCATCTTTATCGCTAAATTTGTAGGCTTTCATAAAAGTCGCTGTACGCGATACATTGATATCGTCTTGAAACTTGATGAAATCTCAAGTAGTCAGGCTGAAATAGAAGGTAATTTGAGATTTGCCCAATGCTCATTTGAGTAATGCTTGAAACTTATGAAATTGTATTTTTTTTCAGATACTTTCAGAGAATCTGATGATGATAATGATCACCAGGAACATGAAGAACACTCTGATATTGAAGATCAATCGGAAAGTAGCACTGACGAACAGGAAGAAGAAAGTGATTCCGATGCTGAATAATCGATCATATAAACTGTTTTATATTTGTTTCTTTTGTATGAAAATCGGATTTTAAAGTACATTACGACTTACATTTATGAAATTTATGAATATATATACTGCACACGAGCTTACAATCGTTGTTCATTGTTATTACATCAAAATTTCAATGACTGTTAGCGTTATATCCTGCTGAATCCAAGTATCCAAGCGACGCGCCGCGTAATTTACTCACCGCGCGTTGCACTTCAAACGCGCAGCTAACAGGTTAAGTCACACCTGTGCATCAGCTGACATTTATTTATACAGTTCTCATTCCATCAACTGTCACATAAATAAATTTCAGCTCCTGTATAATAGTCCGAATTTTCCAATTTTCTATACATGATGAACATGCGCGCAGCTAACATGTTAAATCACAGGGATCTCGCAGCTAACATTTTTTTTCGTCAAGAAAATCTTACCAATTATCTACCAGAAAATTTTCAACTACAGTAAAATGCTCCGAAAATCTATTTTTTCTTGCGAGATGCGCACGCTCTCGGAATCTTAAGTCACGGGGTCGCGTCAGCTAACATACGTTTTCTTCATTTTTGTACGAAAAACTAATCGATAAGAAACTGGAAATTCTCGGTATAATCACCCATGAAAATTTGACGCTACCTCCCGGACTATATAGACTTACTAGTAAGTGGTAGCGAATTAGGACAGTCAATTCTATTATTTGTGCATGAAACAAATATCAGCAACTTCTCTTCTATATTTTAACGGCATGGTATGATTTTCCTCTCTAACTTCGCGATATTGAACATATTGGGGGTAAGTAACGTGCCTCTTAAAATTCAGATTTTTAAACATTTATTCGGGACTGTCTCTATTTGTTGTATGGATTTGTAGACCGGAATTCTAAATACTATACTGTTCTACTCTAACTTAGATCGTACCAAGTGGTTGTAGAGAATTTTTCGGGAAACGATATTTTGTAATTCGGAGGTATTGCGTATTAGAAAACCTAAATTGTTTAGTGCTGAATTGACAACGTTATTTATACGTTCTTCCGATCTTATCGCAATTGTAAATTTTCCTCCCAAATCTAATTACTTTCACAGTTTGCAGTTTTTGTTGGTCCATAGAGTAATCCGCTTCGGTATATCCCTACTTCGTTGTATACGTCAGGCTTTTGCATTTATTGATATTAAAGTAGTTGGTTTCTGTTACTCCAGGCCACGACACTGTCAATATCTGTTTGAAGTAGTTGTACATCATCAACATTCGTAATTCCTTTAAATATCTTTAAATCATTCGCCATTTGATATTTAAAGGAAGGCCACTAATGAAAAGGGAAACAGTAGCGGGCCCAAATTGCTTCTTTGGGGCACTCCTGATATAGCACGAAATGGATCAGATACCTTAGTATAATAACAACTCTTTAAATTGCGTATCTTTTCGACCATCTTCGTATCTTCTATGGATTTCGAGATCCCCATGATAGACGCCCTCATCTTGGACACAGTGTAGGTATATAAAATTCATCTGTACGTGTGTTTGTGACTGAACCCCTCCTGAACGGCTGGACGGATTTTGATGAAATTTTTATGTGTCAGTGTGTCCCTGGGTGGTTTAGACTTTAGATTGAAATAATTTTCAGACTTCTTTCGACGACAGAGATTTTGAGATCCAACCATCCACCAAATGAGATTTGGGTTGGGACATGGTGCGTCACAAGATCGACTTATTGGGAGTGAGTCATATACAGGCATAGTTTGTTTCCATCAGCTGGGACTGCAAACTGCAGGTCTCTTTTTGAATAAATTGGGGACTTAGTGTTGGTTCACATAATCTTTCTTTGTCACACGTATATTTTATTAGAAGCGTTAATTTTCCAACATAAATAAACTAAACTTAGGTACTAAGTAGGTTTAGTCGCATGCATGATATACATTGTATTTGTGTTATTATTCCATCTCCAATATGCCGAAAATATATCATAGTATATTCCTCTACTTCCTTCAGTTTTACACCCGGCTAGAAGAAGGATGTTCAGCACTGTCAAACGTTTCCGTCATACTTACCTTCCTGTAACATTTTTTCAACATCCAAATCATTTACAAATTTATCCCAATGAAAAGTGTCGTAAGGAAAAGTTCGGGTAATTGTTTGGCCGACTACTATCATCCTCAACCATGACTCGAAGGTTTTACTGACACTGCTGAAAAATAAAAGACCTCCGGGTTTAACTGCTTTCACGCAGCTCTTTACGAATACATCATGATTTTTAACGTGATGCAGCACATTATTTGCTATAACGATGTCGTACTTCTCCGCGTTTCTTACGCAATGATTTTCAATACTATCCCATTGGTAAATAACATTCTTCAAACAAGGGTCTAATGAAAGATGGTCTTTGGCCGCTTCTAGTATATCGCTGTTAACATCGATTCCGTAAACATCACCTCCCGCTCTTGCCAGGCATTCGGTTAAATGACCCCCTAGTAAACTTTGAGACACGGTACAATGCAAATGGGACACTTACCTCCGCAACCCACATCTAAGATACGCAGTTTGTCGCGAAACTGGAAGCCTTCGTATCCTTTGACTATATCTTTTTCAATTAAGACTCCTTTAATGTATTCCAAGTCCAGTTGATTTAACTGTATTAGGGGCCTCATCACTGAATTTAAATCCCACCATCCTGACTTATACTTAGAATAAAAAGCGTTGTGAGAAACATCTGCGCTGGGTACGTCTAAAGCTGCAGAATAATGAAAGCTGACAGTATAGATCCTAACATGGTGTTAAATCAGATGGAGTCAAGATGAAACACAGATTAATCACATGATCAACCCACAGAAACGTTATAGACTACGATCTCCGTGAAAATAAGGCAAAACCCAAAACGACGTCTGTTGATACTTTTGACATTTGTAGATAATTATCACTTCCAAACGTACATACATGATCTATTCTAATTCTTTCATTACACACGGGTGTAGGTAATGGGTATAATATCATGACTCTAAATTATACGTTACCTATGACCTCATTTTCAGGAAAGTCGTGGAAAAAGTATGGTAGGTACGTAATTCTGTTGTAATTTGCGTATTATAGGCTCTCGTAGATAATTTTTCTACTCACTTGTAATAAACACTATTACAACTTTATGACGTAATTTACTATTTCGGTAAGCGTGAGTGAAAAATTCTACAGATAAGCAAAGTTGCCCTTTTCCCTTAGTGCAATAAAGTAGTCTCCAAAAAAGTCTGATTATTTCGATTGGTACACTTACTTGGCATTTCTAGAACAGTAGAAGCTATCAAATCTTCCTAAAGACTATAGGTACTACTTAAATCCACACATTGCTTCTGGAAATATCTAAGTTGGAATGATAAGATTAAACCTCCGTTACGACGTGACGACAATTGTACAAAATTGTCTTATCAGCATGCTTTTGAATGCCGAAAAACGTAAACTTTGAGTATTCGTTTATATTAGAGTACCCTCGAGAGTACCACAAGAACAGGTTGGTTCATAAAACTGTGTGATAAAATCGGTCTTTAAATGTTACTAATTATATTGATCCCAAATTGAATTGGCTTGCCCATTGTAACCACTTATCAATCAAGCTATCAAAAGCATGTTATTTGCTACGTTGTTTGAAATCTACAGTATCAACTGATGTAGTAATCAGTGCATATTATGGATGCTTTCATTCTATTATGAGTTATGCGATTATAACGTGGGGGCATTCGGCAGGAATGAAAAGAATATTTTCAATTCAAAGACGTGCCATCCGAATAATATCTAACCTTAATTATAGAGCTTGCTGTAGGTACAAATTCATTGATCTCGGTATCTTAACTTTGCCATGTATTTATATTTTAAATTGCATTTTACATGTTATTGACAATATTTCGTCTTATCAGTCTAGTGATTTTACTCATCGATATGTAACGAGAAGTATCGGTAATTTACGCACAAATCAAGTTCGTCTAACTACTTCACTAAATTGCATTAATTACTATGGGAGTAAATTTTACAACAAAATACCTTTGAAATATCGATCATTACCAATAACTCAGCTAAAAAATGTTATTAGCAATTATCTAAAAGCAAATGCCTTCTATTCAGTGAACGAGTTTCTTCAATCCCAGTCCATTGATCTGTGATATTCAGGTTTAATATATTTTAATTTGTTTTGTTTGTCTTTCTATGTAATTGTAGTTTGTTGTTTTCACTTTGACGAATCTTATATAGTTCTACTATTTATTGATAATAAAGTATTGATTGATTGATTGATTGGAGAAACGGCAAAACATTGATATTGCCGGCCTTAGCTATAAGTATCCAATCAAGCGTTATTATAACGTAAGAATTTTTGTAAATACGAGTAGTGATAGATAACAACAAATAACTTAAAATTAGGGGGAGTTGTGCGCTAATCATGACAGCTTTGCTGTTGAAACGCGTTGATCTATTAATGTAGGTATTATTGTGGTTGATTAGTGTTTTTGTTTTACTTTCTATAACTTCAACAGTCACAGCAGTTCCATTGCTTCCAAAATCAATTCTATTTTGAAATGTGATACCAACATTATTTCTCTAGCGGAAATTCACTAAAAATTTTAGGAACACTTTTAGAATAGTAAGAAAAACAGATATTTAATTTGTTGACGAGTTTATTCAATTTCTACAACACCTTCATTATATACAGCAAATAAATACATCAGAAAAGAAACAAATACAACATGTTTTTTGTGACGTTAATATATGTAAGCAGCGACATTTTTCACCACCACCCCCCTCCCCCCTCCTACAATACTATATCGACACCAAATCTAGGCCATTGCCAGTTGATTAGGGGGCAAGCTTATGTTACTTTTCAATATTACTGACAAACTGTTCAGTTACATAGACTCTTAGATGCCGTGCGCAACCTCAAATTTGCAATGATGACTGGAGCAGTTTTTTGTTTTTTTTGTTATGGAACTTTATTTTTGTCGACTTTTCGTCAAAATCCGCTTACAAAAATAAAATAAACATATAAGAGTGGATAGTGTCTCTAGTTTGGTTATGTTATACCAATGGATAGACCAGACAAACAAGCAGATATTTCAAATTGCGATCTCTACGTTAGTTGTTAAACAAAACTAAAACTTGTGAATACTAAAAATTATACTTTTTCCCAAAATTTGCCACGAAAAGAAAATCATTGGCGATATAGATATAATTCGCCTTTACGTATAGAATGAAACGTGAACAAGTTAAAAAGTAATCGTAAACGAATTACATAAAGCGCATTGCCACCTGCATTCATTTCCCATTTGTAAGATGCAACTTCTGTTAAAATCGTAAAAATCCGGCCACAAATGGGTATTAAAGATAGCGTTGCACATGGGCAATCCATTTTTGACGTGCTACTTCAATTTCAGTTTATAAGAAGAATTTCATTTCAATGATTTTCTAAATAAGAAAGTTGGAACTGCCCATGCGCAAACCTAAATTTTTAAACTAATGTTAGATTTTCCTTTGTATGTATGTATGCTTTATTGGTGATTTATACTTACAAGTATTTTCACACGTCATTTTTTCACAGACATAATTGACCATAAATTATCTACCAATACAATATAAATTTAAAACCTATTTTCTTAGACAAGATGACAATTAGGTAAAATGACAAAGGACAAAATAAATATACATTTAGACAACAAAATCGCAACATCTTCACAAACAGAGCTAGCAATCTAAGTCATTGAAACTATTGTTCAAAAATTCGTTTAGTGAGTAGAATGCTCGACGTTTTAAATATTCCTTTACACTAGCTTTGAATGATAGTGAATATAAGTTTTTAGTTTTCGTGGGTAATGCATTATAAAACTTCATCCCATAATATGATACGCCATCCTTTGTTTTATTGAGCCTATGAAAAGTTATGTAAATGTGTTCTTTGTTCCTTGTGTTATAACTATGCAAATCCTGTTTTACAGTTTGTGAAACTATGTTCTCTTTAATATAGAGTAGGCATTGAAGTATATATGTACAAGGGAGTGTCAAGATACCTAGCTCAACAAATCCACTCCTACAGCACTCTCTGTACTTGATATTTTTTATTATTCGGATACACTTCCGTTGTAAGGCAAATAAAGTATTTGCATGTTTCGAATGGCCCCATGCAAGAATTGCATATGATAAAATTGAATGAAAAATGCCATAATAGGCTGTAATTACAGTTTCCATTGAAGCAACTCTTTTAAGATTCCTGATAACAAATATAGCTTTAGATAATTTAGCACTTTGAATAGCTACATGTCTGTTCCAAGTCAGATGTGGATCTAACGTTACTCCCAATATCCTAAAATCTGAATTTTGATTGATAATTTTTTGTTTCCTTAGCGTCAGTGTCATGGTTTGTGTCTTTGATGCATTTAAAGATAATCTGTTTGATTTTACCCATTTATCAACTCTTCCTATAGCTAACTTCATGCACTCATTGATTTCTTCTTCACTATCAAATTGTTTAATAAGAGAAGTGTCATCAGCAAACATAATGTGGTCGGTGTATAGGTCACAATGGGGAAGATCATTAATATATATAAGGAACAAGATGGGCCCCAAAACAGATCCCTGTGGCACACCGTGCTTTAATTGTGACAATTTTGAAACACCATTATCGTAAATTACATACTGTTGTCTATTTGATAAATAAGAGTGGATTAACTGTGCACTTTTGTTTCCAAAACCATAATTTCTTAGTTTATCGATTAAGATTTTATGTGATACGCAGTCAAATGCTTTGGTAAAATCAAGACCTGCTAAACTAATGTATTTTTTATTTTCAAATCCTTTCATAACTGTTCTTGCTAAATTACTCACAGCCAGAGCAGTAGACTTCCCTTTTCTAAACCCAAATTGCGATTGACTAATTATATGATGATCCTCGAAATAAGTTTCCATTTGAAGTTTTAAAACAGATTCAAAAATTTTGCTAAACACGGGCGTCAAAGAAATAGCTCTATAGTTATTAGGATCAGACAAGCAACCTTTTTTAAAAATTGGTACTACTTTAGAAATTTTTAATACGGAAGGAAACGTACCACTCGCAATACATTTATTAATTAACTTTGTCAATGGAGATAGTATAACATCCTTCATTGACTTCACAATTTTTACAGTAATGTCATAAGGATCTTTGCTACAGCTATTTCTTAGTCGATCGATACACTCCCTAATTGTACTAAAGCCCACTTCTTTAAAGCTAACGGTAAAATGGCTCAATTCCATAAAATCTAAAGGATCTATATCATCATGATCTATTGGAATATTGTTAACAATGTTATCAATTGAGTCAATGAAATAGTCATTAAAAATGTTACAATTCAGTTCAGCGCATGGTTCAAATTTTGCTGTGTTCTTGCGTTTAATGATTTGCCACATCGCAGCTACCTTATTTTTAGAGTTTTTTTTATGAATTTATCATTTGTCATCTTTTTCGCTTTTGATAATTCATTTTTGTATCTCAATTTCACATTTCTGAGCATCTCCTTTGTGACTAGAGATGAATTAGATTTTTAGATTTAAGCATATCACTACAGAGTTGCAGTGTTGAACGTAGTTGCTTTAAGCTATCAGTAAACCAGTTTACTTCCCTGGAAGTAGAAGTTGCAAGCCTACACTTTAGAGGAAAAGTGGTAACAATAGTCTCTGAGAAAAGTTTTACAAACATATCGAATTTAGTCTCGGAATCAATTCGTTCGTCACTGATAAACTCCCAATTGACATATTCTAATATATTATACATGCGAAATAATCCAATGTTGGTGATTGGTCTATATGTAATTCTACCATTATTTCCACTACAATCTTTATGGGAAGTGATGCCAAGGGTAAAACCAACAGCATTGTGATCAGAAAAATATGTATCAAAGACCGTAACTGAAAAGTCTGGAATGTTTGTAAAAATATTGTCCAGACATGATTGCATTCTAGTGTTCTCAAAAACGGACTGCTTCAACCCAAACGTTAGAAAAATGTTACATAGCTGGTGCGCTTTTTCATCTTTAGTATTGAATTTGACGTTAAAATCGCCAGTAATAATGATTAATTTACGAAAATTTAAAGTTTCTAACATATGCAGTAATTGCTCCATAAATATATCGAAGTCTCCGCTGGGCGAACGATAAATAGACACAATGTCAATGTTATGATATTTTAAACCAACCACTTCAAAATTAACTTCCTTCGATAAGCCCAACAAATTCAAAGGTGTACATTTATAAGAATTTTTGATGAGAATGCAAACCCCACCGTGTATTTTACTCGAACGGCAAAAACTCGTTACAACACGACATCCTTGTATACTCAACACTTCAATTTCCTCTTTTCTTAGCCAGTGCTCGTTTATACATAAAACGTCATAGTCATGGGCATGCGCTATTGATTCTAGTTCCAAACACTTGTTTCTCAGACATTGTACATTTATATGCATAATATTTAGTGAATCATTACAATTTTGTATTACTCTATTAGGTGACATTGTTTTATTTGGCGGTAGAGATTGATGAGTAAGAATGTGCGGAGTTATACTTATAAGTAGTGGCGGGCGGTTTAATTACGATTATTGGTAAAAGTATAATTATGTTGATTTGAAGATTTGACGATTTTATTTATTACAACGGGAATTGACTCGCTATACAGTTCAGTTTAATATACGAGATCTCTTGCAAAAGGTAAGTGCACATTCGCACTTTTGCACGTCTATTTAGGTGTATGCCATCCTTTACATAGTCAACCTTTGCGAAAGATTTATAAAGAACTACAAAATAAAATTTATCTCTACATGATACCATACTGTGTATTAATTTATTTGCATGGAATATTAGGTTGTTATATTTAGTGTTAACGTAATTATATGGAATAGAACTAATAAAGACATCACAAGTTAAGTTTAAATTAACGATGCGTTCTAAAACAATTTTAAGTTCGGCCAGTTTAAAAGACGGACACAATATATCGTTGGTGCCCGCTACTATCACTAAACTATCCTTACAATTATACGATTTTGAGATATTTTCAATATCTTCCACAACACTACTAAATTTAGCGTTTGGTTTAAAAAATGAGGTAACATGGAAATTGTTTGAATTTTCATTTAGGATTTGACTTAACCCACGTCCGTGACTATCTGCCCATACACAGATTTTCCTTCTTGTTGATAGATTACATTCATATTCACCCTCGCTCGAATATTTTAGTGGCCCTTGATTTTCATTTTTCTTACATTTTAAGATCGGCACTACCTCAGACAATTCCTCATACAGAGTTTTTACGTTTGTTTTACCAGAATTATGTTTATCACGACGTAATGTATTACTTTGTTTAGTCACTTTGTTAATAGTTTGAGAAACCGCATCGCACTAAAATGCTTCCATAGAAAAAAAAAGTTGGCACTGTGCATGCGCAAAATAAAATTTTGAAACTGGCGTTAGATTTTCCTTTATTCCAAGTGCCTATGTGTCAAATTTCGTTTAAATTCTTCCATAAATAAAAAAGTTGGCACTGCGCATGCGCAAAACCAAATTTTGAAATTGGCGTTAGATTTTCATTTATTCCAAGTGCCTATGTATCAAATTTCATTCAAATACTTTTATAAGTAAAAAAGTTTGCAATTCGGTTTATAAATGGTCGAGATGCGAAAAGGGCACTGTGAATTTTGAATCGATTCGATCAACTTTTGGCATTGCGTATTATATGGCTAAAGCTATGCCCATATTGAATTTCATGCAATTCAGTTCATAACTAACGGAGATCTAAAAGCGATCGGACATTTCTAAACAAAATTATCGTTCACACGGATAGATAGAGGGACAGACAGACAAAGGAATAGGCGGACATACCAACATACAGACGGCAGACAGCAATACAAAATTATAAACGATATCTAGGATCGTTAATAAACGGCAAAAGTGTAAAATTATGGAACATGTAAAAAACGGTTTGTTGGTTTTTTTACAATAACTTTTTTTAGCAATAAACCCAGAAAAAATTCCTTCCTTGGTGCCAGCCTCGACACCATAACGAACCAAATAGCGAAAAAAGTAGAACAATAGCTCTTAAGATAAAGAACTAGTACCGTCTCATAGAACGGACGGACGGACGGACAAAGTGGCCACAATAGCGCATTTTTTTGTTTGTGGAAATGGGCTAAAAAGGATAGTGCATAACGCGGTTGTGCGTTAACGAATAGACGGAGAAGTGTAGATGCACTTTAATACCAAGAACTCCATTGTTGTTATAGGTAACAACAGTATTTAAAGATTATAAAGTTTAAAGGGAGAATAAATGAAATTAATTAATCCTTTTAACTAAGCTAATATTTGAACACACAAATCTGTAACTCCTAACTTTAATTTATTAAATCCTTCGACCTCCCTGACTAACTACTTGCAAATATATCTCTAATGGCCGGTTGCACCGACAAATTTAAGCGGAGCTTAGCTTAAGATGGCAACGATTGTTGAGACAATGGTTGTCATTGATTTTAAGCTACGCTTAAGCTAAGCTCCGCTTAAATTTGTCGGTGCAAACGGCCATAATTCAATTAAGAAATATTAATTAAAAAGAATTTACTTTGTAATGAAGTAATCTAATTGTGAGTTCGCACTGAAAGTAATTTAAAATATCTTCTAAATCACAGGCATATATTTCTACTCAATTGGTGTCAAGAATATTGCACCCTTCCTAACTGAAATCGATGGATTTCATTCAACGACTAAATTGCACTCCTTTATACTAAGTAAGTTACTTTTTTACTCTACAATGAAGCATTTTTTACTGCCTCAATTATCGTGGTATATTTTTAAATTAATAAATTGGGGCTGTTTTGGTTGTTAACACAATCTGTTTTTGTAGCACGTGGATTTCAAAGCCATTTATTAGAAGTGTTAATTTTCAAACATAAATCGACTAAACTCACAAGGTAGGTTTAGTCGCATGCATCATATACATCGTGTTTGTGTTATTATTCCATCTCCAATATGCCGAAAATATATCATAGTATATTCCTCTACTTCCTTCAGTTTTACACCCGGCTAGAAGAAGGATGTTCAGCACTGTCAAACGTTTCCGTCATACTTACCTTCCTGTAACATTTTTTCAACATCCAAATCATTTACAAATTTATCCCAATGAAAAGTGTCGTAAGGAAAAGTTCGGGTAATTGTTTGGCCGACTACTATAATCCTCAACCATGACTCGAAGGTTTTACTAAAACTGCTGAAAAATATAAGACCTCCTGGTTTGACGGCTTTCACACAGCTCTTTACGAATACATCATGATTTTTGACGTGATGCAGCACATTATTTGCTATAACGATGTCGTACTGCTCCGCGTTTTTTACGCAATGATTTTCAATACTATCCCATTGGTAAATAACATTCTTCAAACAAGGGTCTAATAAAAGATGATCTTTGGCCGATTCTATTGCATCGCTGTTAACATCGATTCCGCAAACGTCAGCACCAGCTCTTGCCAGGGATTCGGTCAAATGACCCCCTAGTAAACTTTGAGACGCGGTACAATGCAAATGGGACACTTACCTCCGCAACCCACATCTAAGATACGCAGTTTATCGCGGAACTGGAAGCCTTCGTATCCTTTGATTATATCTTTTTCAAATAAGACTCCTTTAATGTATTCCAAGTCAAGTTGATTTAATTGTATTAGGGGCCTCATCACTGAATTTAAATCCCACCATCCGGACTTATACTTAGAATAAAAAGCGTTGTGAGGAACATCTGCGGTGGGTACGTCTAAAGCTGCAGAAGAATAAATGTTGACAGTAGATCCTAACAATCTTAAATCAGACGATGAAGTACCAAACACAGATTAATCACATAATCAACCGATCAACACATACAGAAACGTTATAGACATTTTCGGGTAGGAGTGAGTGAAAAATTCTAGAGATAAGCAAAGGTGCCTTTTTATTGCATTAAAGTAGTGTTTTCAAAAAATACCTAACCATGTAAAGTAACTCCGTCCAAGTAAAATCAGTTACTGTATTATATGTATTGTATAGTATTTTATGTCTTCGTACTGTTTCTGTAAGTTTAATATGGAACTTCATCGGGACTTACAATTAATTAAACAAATACACATGGCGGTACAAATTTTTGTACCGCAAGAAACCATTATCTAAATTTTTCTAAGACAAAATTTTAACACAATATAAAAAGCGGCCCCTACACGAACAATATTTACGTCAATATATTGTACAATATTTTGTGCAATATTTACTTGGCCAACCCACACGGTGCAATATTATTATTCAATAAATTAGTCCGCAGGGTGATATTTGTGCAGTCAACATGTGGAATAATAAGAAGACGGTAAGTTGTGTGGCTATAGCTTTAGTTATAGCTTCAGCAAAAAACGAAAAAAAGAAGCGCACGTGGATGAAGGAATGGTTTAAAAAAAGAAATATTTTTTTAAATTCTGTTGCTGTAATCGTTACTTTTGATATTCCACAACGCAGGTAAGCTCCGATACACCTCGATACATTCTAAAATGAACTTTCTTTCTTCATCTTTCCCCTTATGTGTAGCCATGGTCGATGTTTATTCCTACTCTGTTAACACAGAACTGAAGTGGTATTGCACAATATTACCAACACACGCAGCAATATTTACTAGATTGCACAACAAAAATCAAACCGTTTTTGATTGAGTCAATATCTTTCAATGTGCCCTACAGACGCTCAATACTATTGTACAATGTAAATTATTGTGCAATATATTGACGTAAATATTGATCGTATAGGGACCGCTAAGACGGCAGGAGAGAGCTTGACTGCTTATTTCGATTAATACACTTACTTGGCATTTCTGGAACTGTAGACGCTATCAAATCTTCCCTACTACTTAAATCTACGGATTGTCACTGGAAATTTCTGACTTGATATGATAAGATTACGCCCTTGTCACGGTACTATAACAATTATAGATACTCTGTACAAGCGTGCATATGCCGAAACACTTAAACTTTGAGTAGGCACTCGTTTATATTGTAACACAGTATCAGACGAACCAAAGTTTGTTTTATAAACCTTTGTGATAAACTCGGCATTTATATAACACCAATTATATTGGCAAAACATGGGTATTGTCTATCTTAGCCTTAGCTATTCCCTTTACAATCAAGCGTTATCATTATACTTCTATGAAGTATCGTATGGTAGGTTTAACACTCATAAGTTGAAGTAATGTTGGACGACAATAGCAAGACGGCTGTTAATATAGGCATGTTAAAAGAGAGAACTTATACTGATATCAAATAAACTGTAGACTATTGACTGCTTTTACCAGTTCATCACCTCCATTATCGCAATTGAATAGTTAAATATTGAAACGATTTTTTCCAAGTTGATTTTAAGAGTTATTGGTAAATAGCGATAGATAAAAATAAATAAAACAAAAAGGGGTTTTTTTAGCTGATGATGGCCGCTTTGTTGTTGAGTCGCATTCAATCTAAGTATTAATACCTATCCATATAACTATTATCTATTGTGGTTCATTGGTAGGTACTTTTTATTTTTCTAATGGCCACAGCCAGCACCAGTCCTTCCAAAATCAATTACCTATGTTTTGAAATGTGACCCCAAAATTATTCCTCTGACCGAAATTTGACAAAAACTATTATAATAAAGAAAAACAGATAATTTATTGGTAGAAAGTTTGATTCAATTACTGCAACACATTCACTACATATACATCGAATAAGTAAATAAAAAAAAGAAAATGTAAACATGTATTGTCTAACGCTACACGTACGACCCGACCGACGTACGTATAGGTACATTAGATTCGTATCATAGTCCGGGAAATAGAGACTGAAAATTGACCATTTCCTGCAAAACGAGAAGTAATTCCAATTTGTTTTACATATCATGAAGGAATATCTGGTGGTTTAAGAATCCAAGTTTTCGACCTCCCACCCCTTGTGCTTCCCCCGTAACACCCCTAAAACCAAAGAAATTTGGTTGGTTTTTAAGTTTTTCAATCATATTTTTTATAGGTTTCATTTTACAAAAAATATTGCTATTAGAAATTGTAGACCATCAAATTTTACACAAATTTCTTATATACTTCTTCTTCGTAAATTTTTTACTTCAAAAGATACAGAGCTTCAAAGCTGTCTTTATTTTGAAAATTCCGAAATTTCTATGTACATATTTTAACAAAATTGTATGTTATCTCTATAATCATAAGATTCATATCGATTATAAAGCTATGGTGCTATTTCAGTACCCTGCACCCTTATCAAAGGGGATGAAAAAGAAATACCTACCGCTTTCGAACACAATTTACACATCATTATTTTATATGAACATGAATAATAAACATTTTTTATTTGCTACAAAACTCTCTCTGATGACTAACTTATGAATCGCCACAGTCCACAAGGGGTTTGAAATATTCATTCCTTCCGGGGAAAAAGGGGGGGGGGTGAAGCTGAACTGAAGTGAGACAATTTTTTTACCCATCGTCCTGAAACCTTCATTTTCATGCATACTTTCTGGCAGGAAATTTTAGTTTCCATGACAGAGGCAGAGCAGACTACGTTTCCTGCCGTTTGTCACTTTACTGCCCGCACCTGTCACTCCTGTCATCACTGCCAGATTGACATTAATCAAAAATTATATAAAAATTGAAACTTTGTATTAAAAAACGATTTCGGGTAAAATTTAATACAAAACTCGTCAGTAAAATGTCATTACCTGACTCGGAAATTAAAGTACTTGGCTCCAAAGGAGCCTCGCACTTCACAATTTCCTCGCTAGTAATGTATCATTTTCCTGACTTTTATGTAATAGTTATTTACGTAGTAAGTCATGAAAGTGGTCGTTTACATGACGCGGAGGCTTATTGAAAAGTACGAGGACGCGCAGCGTCCGAGTATCTCTTTAATGCCTCCAAGTCTTTCATCACATATTATGTATAAAATTTTACCTGAAACCGCGACATGTAGATAAGTTTTCCAAATTAAATTATTCGTGTGTGAAATTTTGATACCTAATCACACATGCTAAAATCACTTTATTTAATTGTTTCCATAGAGATTTCAAAATAATTAAAACAATCAGTGTCATTTTTAAGGCAGTTTATGCTTTGTACTTTTCAACTATACAGTCTTTATAACTAGGTCCCCACTAGCAAGGGTTGAAAGTTGAATTATTATGCATATCCTTTGGTTAGGGTGCAGGGTGGGGGGATTTATACCACGGTAAGTTCAAGATATTCTCTCATAAAACTCTTAATTATAGAGATAAAGTAAAAAATTTGGTTTAAACATCTACATAGGAATTTAAGAATTCTTAAAAATATAAGGTACTTTGAAGCTCTATATCTTTTTTAATAAACATTTCACAAAACAGTAGTGTAGAAGTTTATGTTCTACAATTTTTGATAACAATATTTTTTCTAAAGTGAACCACTAAAAAGATATGATTAAAAAACTAAGAAATCAACCTAATTCCAATTATTTTCCGACGAGATGAGGGGCTATAAATTGGAAGAAAAAACATCTGCAACTGCAAAACTAGTCGTTATTTTGAAGGACCTCGTGATGGACTAATGGGTTCAATATGCGAAGAAACAGAATAGAGAAGACTATAAAGAAAATCTTAAAAGTGATTTTGACTATTGCCTGGCAACAAGTTTTCTAAAACCTGTCGAATTATTTTCAATCTATTCTCACTGTCTTGTGATATTATTACATAAAATAGAATTGTCAGAACTGTAAAACAATAGTAGATTATACATATATCAAGGTAGAGAAGTCCAGTATTATTGCCTGAGCACCAAGATTACATCTCGAGGCGCTAGGCTCGAGGATCTAGCCAATAATACATAAGCTCCTTCCTTAGTCAATGGAAACACTCGATTTCATTTGTTGCCACGCCGGAATCATCAAATAATGTTTTCCTAAAACTACCTTAGAAACAACTACCTAATTTCCCCTATAAAAAGGGTGAAGAAAATGTGATTTTCTTCTCTAGTGAGGAAAGTAAAGAACATTTGCTGCGTTAATCTTAATAATGATTAATGACATTTAAATTTGAAACATACTCGTATCTAGATTGCTATGTGTTTATTACATATTAATGCATACGATTTTTCAATTTTAATTTTAGTTTCAGAAAACAATATGTGTAAAACTTAGAAGAAAGTGATTTTCAACTCTTCTTCTTCTCTAGTTGTACAAATAACTATTTATCGGATACAACATTGAATGAGCTCATGTCAAGACAATACGTGTTCAAAGACTTGCCTGTTGCATTTTCTGGAGGTTTTTTCAGTCACTTTGCCGAGTCTACAAATTCTTGTGGTTTCACAGACTCTGAAGACATTCCGTAGTCCGAAGAATAATTGAAAATTTAAATCGCCTCTACGGGCGACCGAACTTGATTATTAAAACCATAGTACAGAAGACACGAAGTTTGAAACCTGTGATCAAAATATCATCTCATTTAATTTTTTCCAGAAAAATCATAGTTCAATTTCAGTTAAAGCCCTTTAGTGACGGCCGTAAAATTACCAGGTATAAAAGTAAATAGGGTGTTGGTAGGCCACAGTAACTCGTAAACGAGACCAAGTTTGCTAAAATCGGTTAAGCCAAACGCGAGAAATCAATATTTATTCAAAAATCATTTGATTTCCCCTCACCACTTTATTTCGCAAGATAGGAAAAAAGTAAAACCAAAAAGACTGGATATTATATCAGGATTAAAATTCAGCTATCATCGATACCACTTTATTAGATAAAATTAAATTAAAATTAAAATTTGATATTTGATCATGACTATTGAGCTTCCTAGTGCTCATTTTACACATTCGAAAATAATTTCCAACAATTACTCTTGGCCACTTTTATTACATAATCTTTTACCCGAAAGCTCTATGTCTACTATAGTTTGTAATAGCCCTACTATGATCGTCTCACTTTTCTGATTGATAAAAAATAAATCTACATAAATAAACCGATTATATTGAAAAAAATAAAATAAATCCAAATTCCACTGCACTCACAATATTGATTTTCTTTTTTTATATTAAATCTTAATTACTCAATTACTTACATCTATCCTGAATCTGAATAATATTTAAATTTACTTAATATAACACTTAATTAAATACCTATACAGCAATGAATATCCTTCTAACTTCTAACTTATATTTATCCTATCTATATAAAACCATTCGGCAAAAACAATTATAAAATGACAAAATAAAAATTTTATATGAATAAATTTCTAGGTAAATAACTTTTCATAAAAATAACTTACAATTTAGACAGTAGTATTCTTCCCCTTTTTAGATGGTGGGTATTGTAGTGGAGCATGATTTAGATTATTCTCAATCTTCGCCTATTAAATCCAATCGCGTAATCCCAATTGAACAACAATTTCTTAGCGCGCTTTTCGTACTTTAGGTATAATTTCTGAACGGAAGTCTTTCAATCGCACGTTAAACTAAACTGCAGTTACTCAATAATTAATACTTTCCGAACAATTCACTATTCCAGAACGACCAACTTGTTCTTGGTTAAAAAATACGATTTTAAATTAATACGCGCAACAAATGTTATTTGGTTTGGGCCTTGTTACTTAAATGGCCCGTTTCCGCGATGACACTCGCCCGTGCGAATATCTACGAAAAAACTTTATAAGTGGTGGCCGCGTTTTCCGCGGCGGTACCACGCTCCGCGTGAATATCTACGCAAAAAGCTCTTAAAATTACTGATCATTTTGTTTTTATATCGCGAGTAAACCAACGCCCGTAATTAACGCTCCCATCAAGTTTCCGGAATTAAACAAACTCATAATTTTTTAGCCTCGCTGTTTTATTACATATTTTTCTTAGAATCTATTGCGTCTTTTAACCGGTGACCTTTTTTAAATCACGTACTAATCGTTAACTCGCCCAAAATAGGAAGTCCAAAACCAATAACTCATCTTATATTTCACGATATTTGAAACTTAATTACATCGAAAAAAAAAATGTTTGTTAATTTTAATGAACATTACAACTTCACAGAAATCTGAATCATCGATACGCATTTCTACCCGAATATAATTTTGAAATCCACAAAACTTGCAAAATTTAACAAGCTTCCGTTACAAGTTGCTCTGATATGGCCGACGGTCATTCTTATTTGGCCACCTCGTACATTAAATTCTATTGATACGATTCCTGTTTCAAATTCATCATTTCAACATCCCCAACCCAAAATTTTTTCTGCGAATGCCAACACATTTGAATCTACTGAAACTTTTAACGTTGTGCCAGAACGACAAC